TCACTCGTCCCGACTCCATTCGTGCCAGGCGGGTTGACCATCGTTACAGCACCCGACGGCATCCCCTCGCATCTGCATACCCCACCAACGCCGACGTCCATATCCTCGCTCGATCCGATGCGGCGTAGCAATTCCAGTTCAACAGTTCGGAAATCATCAACATCGTCTACCCCTCCTATACCCTCTCATGCAGCTGCTTCGATACCCGCTCCCACTGATTACGCACATCCTCCACTGACGATGCTGCTCACCCTTCTGTCGCCTCCGCCGCTCTCAGCGTCCACGGCAATGGCACAGTCAACACCCGCCACATCCACCTGGACATCTCTCGCGCTGACATATACCCTCTCGCTCCCATTGACATTCTTCGAGCCGTTCGTCTCGCGGCTGCTTCCATACCTATTGTATACACACGTGCTATCTGCGTTGCGGCTGACAGAGATTGTCCGCGCCGCTCGCCGGGCACTCTTTCCTGAAGGTTGGCCAGGACCTACACCGCCGGAACCGACGCCAGAAGAGCAGGTGGCCATACGTACAGAGCTCAGGCGACGGTTGCTTGCTGCCGTGCCAGGTGAGTTCGTCTGTCCGTCCTTCAGTGTACTACTTTCTCCGGCTGAGATCACTCCTGACGAATAGTACCTCTGGCTGTCTTCCTTGGTCCTACGCCCGAGGCGCGAGCATATACGATTGACGCAATGCTCGACCCTCTCTCATCACAAGCCTGCAACGCGCATCTCACACTGTTCATCCTAGACCTGGTATTGTTGACTGTGTTCCCCGAGTTGGGTGCAAGTGAGACGGCCGCGGCGGCGGTTACGGAGGGCAGTGTGGACAGGACGGGTGCCACCTAGTCTCGAGCCAGGACGCCCTGCACTCATATGTACGAATGCATATGATTATCACTGTATTGCAAAAAATGAACTAGTAGGCTACAGTGACGAAATGCAGTAAACTGAACGCCAAAAAGCAAGAAAAAGGCTGCAAGACATAGCAGGTATACGACGAAGAAATACAGATTAGTGATTTACAATGACTTCTGACTTCTGTTTCACCGCTGATCCATCTGCACCGCGACACGGGCCGGCTTCCGTCCCAAAAAGACAAAGGGACAGATCCGCTACATCTGTTGCATACCGTTCCGCTGCGATACCGTTCCGATCATAACTTGTACGGAGTCTTCGGATATTCTACCTTGGAAGCAGCGGCGTCGTCTAGAAACCAATATAGGTGACCTGGAGCAGCCGGCCGCACCCTTGATGCTGGTAGACCCTCCTCCGGCTTGTCGAGGACGGTCTTGAGGATGTCAGCTTTTCCGGCGCCGCTAGCAACGAATGCGACGCGAGCAGCATGGTTGATGACGGGATAAGTGAGAGTGATACGCTTGGGCGGTGGCTTCGGGCTGTCCTCGATGTACGCGACCCAGCTACCCTCCTCGGTCAGGAGCGGATGACCAGGGAAGAGGGATGCGGTGTGGCCGTCTGGACCAACGCCGAGGAGGATAAGGTCGAAGATGGGGAATCGGGCTGAATCTTTCTGCGCGAACTCGTGGATGAGCTCCTGTTCGTAGGCATCAGAGAGCTCCTCGATATCGTCGGCGAGGGACGGGTCGATCGTGTGGATGTTATCGAGAGGAATGGGGACTTTGGAGAAGAGCTCATCCATGCAGAGCTTGTGGTTGGAGTCGGGGTGGTCGAGCGGTACGACGCGCTCGTCGGCATAGAAGACTTGCCTGTCGCGATCGGATCAGATAGTGCGTCGGGCGTAGGTTGGCTCGCACTCACCACTTGTCCCATTTAAGGCCAGGCTTGCCGATAAGGGCGTTGAGCTGCTTGGGGAGTGAGCCGCCCGAGATGGCGACGGTGAAACGGCCCTTCTTCTCGATGGACTCTTTCTGAGCCTTGACGATGAAGTGGGCGACCGCGTCAGACAGCTCCTTCGACGTCGAGAACGAATAGAGAATAGGAGGCGATGGAGAAGTAGGCATGGCGAGAAACTCTGCGAGCGCGCTTGCCGGAGAAGATGGAGGGACGCAGAGAGTTGTGCCCGATAGCCACAAGCCAAGTCGCATTCACTCTAATCGCCCTATCACAAGGCCTGACGTCAACCGACGCACGTGACTATTGTGGCAAACGGTAAACGCGCGTCCAATCGCCTTCTTTGCAAAGTCATCTCAGCCGCGAAAATCTTCACTTGTTTTTTGAAGTTATACAATCTACCTTACAATGGGTGAGATGTATGATGGTTGTACTGTGTCTGAACGTTACAGTCGAGGCTCGATAAGTCAAAGGGGAAGCATAACACCCCCTGATACTCCAGGCCCGTCCTATCTTGGCGGTCAAACTTCTGCCAGTCGATCTCTCCTTCGAAGTTGCGCATGAGCTCGACAGGGCCTTCGTCGAACACTAGTTTCACCCCTCTGTTCAGTAAGGCGCCACCATTTCCGAGGCCTGCGATGGGCAGATTAACTCTCTCCAATCGGTATTTTGTGTTCTTTCTTGCGAAGGCGAAAGCAGACAACGCGAAAATGTTGAATGCACTGAATCCTGCCTTGAAGGAAACCGCCTTCACTTTAGGCAATATATCCAGGCACGCACTCTGATGTAGGTTTGCTGCGAACCAATCTACATCCTTGTATCTGTAGGCGAGGACGACATGCTCCACATTCGGCAACAACCTCAGCAAACGCCTTAGCAGATCACATCTGAACAAGGCATTCGGGCAATCTTGCTCTGAGCCAGGGTAGGCCCCTGAGAGCCACAGCTCGCAAATATTGGGAAATTTGGCCAAGTCCCCCTCACGATCATGGTCAGTCAATGCTTTGATGTACCGCTCTGCAAGGTGAGCATCGCCAGGTGCAATCGACGCTCCGTCAATCTGAAGTTTTTCCAGAAGCGGTGCACGCAGGAGACGGAGGACAATAGCGTTCGTACGCTGATTGGTGAGGCGAAGCTCACTCAGCGCAGGCCACGAAATGGCCTTCTTGGGAAGATGGTGCGCGCAGTCGTCCGCGAACAGCGCGTCAACAAGCTGTGACGACGGTTCGCGTACACCGTGCAACCTCAAGTGCGTGAGATCTGGTGTCGCTGCAGCGAATTGCCGTAGAGATTTGATCTCGCAATCCGCCATCAATATCCGGCACTCGCGCAGAGCAGGATAGGTAGGACCAATTAGGTGCAGTCTCCAACCCGGCACCTTTAGGATAACTTTCTTGAGAGCAGGTGCTCCATGTCCCAGCAGCACAATTGCCCTAGACAACGGTTTCTCAGAAAAGCTGGGAGTCGCTGATGCGACTGGGCCATTTATGGAGAGAAATTCCAACTTGGGCAGCTCGATGAAAGCCAGCCGGTCCAGGATAGACTTGAGAATTTCGCGGTTATCATAGATCATTGTGGAAATTCGTAGTATGGTCCAACGTTCTCGTTCCTCGATTAAGCGATCCACGAGCCCGAGGAACCTTGTAGCATCGGGCTTGCCTCTCACAGGGAGGTCGATATAGATATGTACCGCAAGCGGGCGGCTGCCCTCCTTGCACAGGTCCTCGTCCAGCCGATTGCCACTCGTCGATGGACGCACATAGACATTGAAGGGCTCCAGTAAAGGATCATTGATTGACTAGGGTCGGTGATGAGTGTCAATGCGATGGTCGTTGGGTCTGGCGAACGTGTCTCTCACCGACGCGGGATGGTGAGCAGCAAACCCGTTCTGGTCTAGAGACATGGTCCGGATAGAGGAAAGAGAAGAGCGGATGGCTGGCGGCTCAGTTCTCAGCGACACGGTGGTATTTATACTGTTTTATTTCCCGAAACAATTCCGGTGCCACTGGAACGTGGTGGGCCACAGGAATGCCTCGCGTATCACGCACATGCTGCCAGTTCTGTGGCCCAAACAATAGGGGACAAAAGATTTTTCACTCAGAGAGCTCCGCGGCAAGCTCGTCGCTGTAAACGCGTGAGAGACCATCAGACCAGGAAACAGTGGCTTGACTTTGGGAGCCGAGACCTCTGGACACTCGTCCTGACAGCTTCGCGTTCGCAAGCTCACGGGAGTACATGGTATGCATCTCTTGCGCTCTGGAAAACCATATTATCGTACGAACAGCATTGTTACTGAAAAATAGCGTACGGACGTGCACAAGTTGAAGTAACTTTCGAAGTGGCCTCTGCCACGCGTCGGTGGCTGGCGACGCGGTCATCACGAGACCGTGTGCGAAGTGGAACCGCTTATTTAACGCCCGTGCTTCGTCCAACGGCGGCTCGCTGCTACCTTTGTGACTCTGCTCAGCAACCCGAGTGTAATCTGGCGTTTGCGAAGCAATCCAGATATCAAAGTCGTGATTGTAGCACTTCGACCTTTGACGAAGAGCTATCTGTCCTCATCTGTATTCTTTGGGGGAGGGGTACCCGGTAATCGCTACATTGACCATGGACATATCTATTTCTCCGCAATTATCACAGCCCGGAAGCCAAGATGGGGCCTATTTGTCGACGCTGCGTGATGTCGTGCCCTCTGCGTTAGGCAAAACCGGCTACGTCTCCGTATTCTTGCTAGGCCGGGCAGCTACGTCTACAGGATCATCTTCACAGACCAATCCGACGTCGCAACCAGCACACCAATCGAGGACGACGAGAACTTGTTCCCGCTACCAAAAAACCCGCGACCCTTCGCTTCGTTCATGACTCCGGCCGCTACTCAGGCATTCCTGTCCCGAAGGTTCACCTTTGCAAGTCTAGTCGGTACGCCGTCCGTCCTCATGGACGTGGTCCACGGCGCCCCTTTTGACGATACTATTCAAGGGAGGAGCTTCGACGAATTGACCGTCGAGCACGAGCGATCGAGCTACGTGTCGTCAATGCTATGGCGAGAATCCAGGTCAAGACCTGCATATTTCGACCATATAGGTAGCCTAATCGTGTCTGCCATAAATGGTTTCGATGCTCTCGCTGACGGGCGAGGTCTTAGGTGGTCCTTTGAAGTCCGTCTCGGATGTGTATTATGGGACCTTGGAGCGCGAGGAAGCGCGTGCACTCGAAAAGGGGACTTGGCTCGAAAAGGATGAGCTGCCCAACTCAAAGTTCGTAAAACACCTGCAGGTCCTCTCTACCTTCATCCCTCACTTTGTTCCGCCTCCTGTATCGTGTCATACACCGTCCAGACCTGGCTCACCGTAACGTCATCTCCGACCTCGATGATCTATCCAATGTCATTGAGCGGGGAGGGCCCTCCCATTCATCCTCATAGGCAAACGGTTCTATTTGAGGCAATACTTTGGGGCGATGCTTGCACGGACTTTGCATCAAACCCTTGGCGATGCTGAATCGGACCAACGCCACGATCTGTGCAGATGCTCCTTGTTACATTATGTCCCGCGAAGTCCTCGTTGGTGGTTACAATGGGTGGTTCCTGCGTGAAGATTGTATCAAGGAGTCATAGACACATGCATGCCTCAAAGTCGTCGGATATTCTGATGGAAAGATGATCATTGGTCCAAGTATGGAGAAGACGGCCATAGAGCAATCAGCATCTGACCTCGTGTTCGTCGAGGCAAGCGAGGAAGTCGAACGGAGCGACTAGAGCGCATATTTTTTCTTCACCGCATTCAGTTCACCAGCCATCGCTTATGAGAAGTTGTCGAACAACTTGAAGCACCAACTGCCCTTCCTCAGCGCAACCGCATGGACAATGTGATTCAACAATCAAACTATGCAACGTGGGCAAAACGTCTGCGGCGAATCTCGAGCAACTATGGAAGTTGTCATAACATACATACCACACTCAACGCAACTACTTCTAATTGAGATATATAGGGGAGCACATGGCGGAAGGTGCATTCCTCGGCACACGCTAGAGCGTTTACCCAGTGATATATGATAGTGCTCTTGCCATCATTGGCGAGCACACTTCTAGTAGGATCCGCGCGGCGTTGTCGGTCCAAGAGAGCCCGAGCCGGACACCCTATCCAACGTCGAGGTATATGAGCCGTTGATTTCTCTTCGGATACCTTGTCCCTTCCCCGTCAGTGGCGACATTCACAGCCATGATTGAGGAGGGCGAGGACCCAACTGCACCTGATGATGATCTGACGACCATCCTTGCCATGATTGCGGAACTCTGCCTTGACGACATCGACAATATCGAGTCCGCCCATAAGGGCAAGGGCAAGGCCAGTACGACCCCCACCGACGAAGAGATCGCCCTTCAACTTCTCGCTGAAGATGCTCGGTCGCTCCTAGCTGTGTCTAAGGACGCGGCATTTGCGCGCAGCGTTGACAAAGCTCTAGAAGCGGACCATGCGCTCATCGAAGAACTCGTACGAATGGAAGCAACAGCACGCCACGATAGGGAGCATGCGTTTGCTCTTCATCGCGGGAGGCTTCTGACTGAAAGGCAGGCTGCAACTGAGTTTGTTGCCGAAGACGATGATGCTGTTTCAGACGCGTCGACGGCAACACCCAAGGGGTAAGTTGTTCTATCTCGTGAAGCCGCATGAACGCTCATCAATGTATCTAGATCGCAATATGCTACGCCGCCCGTACCTTCGTCTAGCAGACTTCGAGCCACTCAAGTGCCCGAAGCCCGGCTACTAACGCGGAGGAAGTGAGTGATTGTCAGTCATAAGTAACGTCTACAATGCTCACCATTCTTTAGACAAGAAACTTGCGTTTAATGCCGAGATCAGATTGAGGACGTCGAGATCCGTGCCCCCTGCGGCCATTACTGGGGTGCGGACTGTCTCGTGGAGCTTTTTCGGGCTGCGACGACGGACGAATCGTTGTTTCCTCCGCGATGCTGTCAGCAGCCATTCATCGTGAGCGAAGTCGAACCTCACCTTGGCCCAGAACTATCCGCACTATTCAACAAGAAAGCAATCGAGTTTAATACAGCGGATCGGGTATATTGCCATCAGCCTACGTGCTCTTCGTTCATTGGCGCAGCAACGTCTGTTGCCTCCGTCCAAACCTGTTCCACGTGCTGGGA